GAAGGTCCCAGGTCCCATTCCCAGCATTTCCAGTTAAAAGGATCAGGCAGCAGGTGATACGAAAGACCTCCGCCTGAGACCCTGGAGAGCTGTCAAGAGGGGCTGTGGCTCAGTGGTAGAGCCTCTGCTTGGCACGCACAAGGTCCCAGGTTCAATCCCCAGCAGCATTTCCAGTTAAAAGGACCAGGCAGTGGGTGATGGGAAAGACCTCTGCCTGAGACCCTGGAGAGCAGCTGCCAGTCTGAGAAGAAGAGGAAGATAAGAGATTGAGTTTACACCCCTCCCTTCACTCGGAGTCTCAGAGCGGCTTACAAACCCTTCCCCTCCCTGCAACAGACACCCTGTGAGGTAGGTGGGGCTGAGAGAGCTCTGATTGAGAACTGTCCTTGAAAGAACAGCTCTTGAGAGAACTATGGCTTGCCTAAGGTCATCCAGCAGCTGAAAGTGGAGGTGGGGGGGGGAATCAAACCCGGTTCTCCCAGATTAGAGTCCACGCACTTAACCACTACACCAAAGTGGCTCTGGTACACCAATCTGGTAGAAGAGCCAGATTCGAGTCCAGGAGCACCTTAAAGACCCAACAAGTGTGTCAGCTTTCATGAGCCAACACTCCCTTTGCCAGGTCTGATGAAGATATCTGACGAAGGAAGCTTTGGCTCTCAAAGAGCAGAGATCCTGGAAATCTTGTTGGCCTTTACGGTGCTCCTGGACTCGAATCTGGCTCTTCTACCCAACTAAATAAAAGCAACAAGCACCACAATTTCCTTGTTAGGGAAGACGCTCTGGCTCTTGTCCTAGAATTCGGGCTGAATGATACCAGCTGTGGCAGATCTGACTGGGTCTTTTGGTGGGAACAGGCTTGGCATTTGAGTGCAGACGATCAGTAGTTTGAGGGGATTCGTACCAGGAAGAAATGGTATGGGGAAAGAAGGGGGGCATTTACAAAAAACCCACCCACTTATTAGCATCCAACTACTGTGGGCCGGCAAACAGAGGGTCTGGAGTTCAAATTCCCTGCCACAAAATAGATTCAGGTGGGTAGCCATGTTGCTCTAAAGCAGCAGAATAAAGCTTGAGTCTAGTGGCACCTTTAAGACCAACAAAGATTTATTCTGGGTATGCACGTTTTATTTATCTCTCCTTATATATAATTGAGTAGTGGGGTGGCACTTTCTGAACATTCCACACGCCCTTAAATCAGTTGGCTCCATGATGTGTCACTCAGAAGCTATCCCTATCCACTGGCTGTGTTGCCTGAGTCCCGCCGATAGAAGCGGTGCCCGCCAACACTTTCCTCAGAAGACGGTTGTTTTGCTCCGGTGAACACAGCTACTTTCTTCACTCTCCTCGCCAGATTACGATTGATTCCCTCAGGGGACAAAACCCACCGTCTTTAGCCTCCAAGCTAAGTTTGCTGAGGCAACAATTTCCACAATGGAAAAAACCCCACCAAGTAAACAGTTGTCAGCATAGTGGAGGCAGGGGGGGCAGCCCAAGTTATCACAAAAAAGCCAGTGGATACACACACAAGCAGAGATAGGGGATGGGACCAGACACAGAGAAAACAGGAAGCCAAAAACCCAAGGCATGCTGCAAAACACAAATACAGACACAGTCACAGGCAGATCTACATTTGCAAACTGCCCAGTTGCAGAAATTACTCCACAGAGCCCTGTGTGCTGCATTTACTGGCCCACATTGTGCGACCTTGGACACCAGTTATTGTGTAACATAAGGTATGTGAGACTTTACTTCCACATTTGTGCCTTTCTATTACATACTGCTAATATGTACTTAACCTGCTTCTACCCAATGCATTTGTTACACATTGTATCTTTCTAGAGCTCGTTGTACTCCTTTTACAACAAGCTTTACTGCTAGTTTATTTATAATTTGAATTTATAGACTGCCCTTCCCTGAAAATACAGGGCTCAGGGCAGTGAACGACAATAAAAACATTTGCACGCGAATAAAACAATTCCAACAATTAAATAAATCTGACTAAAACATTTTCAGATGGCGCTAAAATATCAAAATGTCAAGGTGTATCACTGTCTCATGGGAAGGTAAAGAGAAAGCGGGGGTGTGTGTGCCAGATAGGATGGTACCCCACCCCTGTCCTCAACCAAAAGCCCGGTGGAACATCTCTGCCTTGCAAGCCCTGCGGAACTGCACTAGGCCCTGCAGGGCACGGATGTTCTTTGGCAGAGTTTCACCAGGTAGGAGCAAGCTCACACCAAGATTACAACTTTGTTGGTCTTAAAGGTGCCACTAGACTGAAACTGTGTTCTGCTGCCACAAAATGTCTGTCAAATCCTTCTGGAAACATGCAAAAACTATTTTATCCCACTGTTTGGTGTAGCGGTTAAGCACGTGGACTCTAATCTAGGAGAACCAGGTTTGATTCCCCACTCCTCCACTTGCAGCTGCTGGATGATCTTGGGCAAGCCGTAGTTCTGTCAGAGCTGTCCTTGAAAGGGCAGTTCTTGAAAGAGCTCTCTCGGCCCCACCTACCTCACAGGGTGTCTGTTGTGGGGAGGGGAAGGGAAAGGAGTTCGTATGCCGCTCTGAGACTCTGAGTTAAGGGCGGGGTATAAATCCAATCTCTTTTTCTTCTTGCTGGGGAAGTTGATTGTGCCGGAGGAAAGCACCTTCAGTTAGCAGGATGGATCTGCCAGATACAACACATGTTGCAGTTTCAGGTTCTCAGACACTTTTGTATTTTTGTAAAGAAAGGCAGAATGTATAAATCGGTCCCTCCTGAGCCACGGCCCGCTGGTTGTCCCTGGACATGAACCCAGCTCTTGGCCTCAGTTCCTCATCTCTAAAATGGGTCACACACGCTACATGAATGCCTTCAGTCTCTAGACTGTGGTGTGTGTGACCCATGTTCCCCCGATCCGTCTGCACTCACCTCCAGGTCACAGAAGGTGAAGTCTGGCAGGCGGGTGATCTGGTTGCCGGCCAGGTAGAGGACGCGCAGGTGCTCCAGGCCTTTGAAGATGCTGCTGTTGATGAGGTGGATGCGGTTGCCGTTCAGCGCCAGCTCCAGAAGCCGGTCCTGGTGGCGGAAGGCGCCGGGCTCCAGGGCCGAAATGGTGTTGTTCTGCATGTAGAGGTACTGGAGGCCCGAAAGAGGCGCCAGGTCTTGTTGGTGGATCTGCGTGATGCTGTTATCCTGGAGGAAGACGGTCTGCCACACCCAGGAGGGGACAAAAAGCTGTCAGAGAAACCCGCTGCTTTGGCGAGCAGACATTTAACACCCTGTCCAGTGTTCCCTCTAAGCTGAGTTAGTGTGAGCTAGCTCACAGGTTTTTAGCCTCCGGCTGACACATTTTTGTCTTCGCTCAGGAAGGATGGGGCTCCAGAGCAAGCTAATTCAGGCAGTAGCCAAATGGCTCCCTCATAACTTTAATGCCAGCAGCTCACAGAGTAGAATTTTTGCTCCCAAGACTCCACAGCTTAGAGGGAGCCTTGGTCCTGTCTTATTATTTATTATTATCATTATTTCGATTTATATCCCGCCCTCCCCGCAAGCGGGCTCAGGGCGGGTCACAACCATACATTCCATTCCAGTCTCACGTGACTCAATAAATAAATATCAGATACTAAATTAATACAGTAAAACCAGCTAAAAACAGTTACAGTGGGTAGTGCAGCTGATTTCAATTTCAGTTCCTACAGCTGGGCAGCCCCGTATCTAGGGATTTCTCCGGGAGGGGGCCTTGGGGAGATGCAGCTAATTAAATCAAAGTGAATTAAATTAATTCAATTTGGGGCCAGCCTGGGAGGGAGGCCCCCCACAAAGAGACACTAGGGGGCCAGGCCCCGCGGGCCCCGCATTACCTACGGGCCTGCAGCCGGGAATGAATGGGCCGAAGTCGATCCATAAAGGTCTCATTAGCGGTAGCCTACTGCCATAGCAACAGGGAGGTCAGCTGGTAGACGTCCGCTGCCTCAACCAAAGGCCTGGCAGAACAGTTCTGTTTCCTCTTCTGTGTAAGGTTCAAGCCCAGCGGCCCCTTCCAGACCAACACCATTTCCAGGTTATGAGCATTCAAGAGTCAAAGCCCCCTTCGTCAGCAGGGCCGGCTCATCCAGTAGGCACAGTAGGCGCAGTGACTGGGGCCCACAACACTTTTAGGGGCCAACAAAAAGAAGAAGAAGAAGAGATTGGATTTATACCCCACCCTTCACTACCCGAAGGTGTCTCAGAGCAGCTTACAAACTCCTTTCCCTTCCCCTCCCCACAACAGACACCCTGTGAGGTGGGTGGGGCTGAGAGAGCTCTGGCAGAAACTGCTCTTTTACAAGGACAGCTCTGCCAGAACTACGGCTTGCCCAAGGACATCCAGCCAGGTGCAAGTGGAGGAGTGGGGAATCAAACCCGGTTCTCCCAGATTAGAGTCCGCGCACTTAACCACCACACCAAACTGGCTCTCAGAGTGGTTTACAAACTCCTTTCCCTTCCCCTTCCCACAGCAGACACTCTGTGAGGTAGGTTGGGCTGACAGAGCTCTGACAGAAACTGCTCTTTTTCAAGAACAGCTCTGAGAGAACTACAGCTTGCCCAAGGTCATCCAGCAGCTGCAAGTGGAGGAGCGGGGGATCAAACCCGGTTCTCTCAGATTAGAGTCCGCGCACTTAACCACTACACCAGACTGGCTCTCAGAGTGTCTTACAAACTCCTTCCCCTCCCCCTCCCCACAACAGACACCCTGTGAGGGAGGTGGGGCTGAGAGAGCTCTCTGAGAACTGCCCTTGAGAGAACAGCACTGACAGAACTACGGCTTGCCCAAGGTCATCCAGCAGATGCAAGTGGAGGAGTGGGGAATCAAACCCGGTTCTCCCAGATCAGCGTCCGCAGACTTGACCACTACACCAAACCGGTTTTGATTTCTTTTTGAAGGGAAAAAAAATATGAACTTTCAGGGTCGAAGGAAATGTTTTAATTTCTTTTTCTCGCATCAGAAAGAAACAAAATGTTTGGGGCCCACTGAAATCTATTACGTTTTGCCTAAAACGGTGGGGGGGAAATGTTGAAGTATGTAAAGTTATATCAGAAATAATTTTTAAGATTGCCCTGACCTGGATAGCCCAGGCAAGCCCGATCTCATCAGATCTGAGAAGGTAAGCAGGGCCGGCCCGGGCAAGTATTTGGATGGGAGACCTCCAGGGAATACCAGGGTTGGGCAGCTGGAGGCAGCCTATGAAGCCACTTCTCTGAACGTCCTCCGTGCCCCAGTAGGAGTCGCCAGAGGTCACCATGACTTCCAGGCATGGGCACCCACACACAAATGTAAAAATTCATTGACATAATTATGGTGGGAGAGGCCTATGAAGGCAGAAGCGCCTTGGGCTCATAGTCATAACGCAGCCCTGGTTGTCAGACACCTCAGCCGAGCCGCTCCTGCTTTGACGCTCAACAGCTCATACACCCAGGGGTCATTTCCTGCAGGAGCGCAAAGGAGCGGAGCTCCGGCAGTAAAGAGCCCAGGGGGCGGGCACATGCAACAAGCCCCACCCCCTGCTCCCAGAAGCCCCAGGCCACGAGGAGCAAGAAGCTCCTTCCTTCCTTCCTTCCTTCCTTCCTTCCTTCCTTCCTTCCTTTCTTCTCTCCTTCTTTCCCTCTCCCTCCTTATTTACTTCCCTTTCCCTCCTTCTTTCTTTTCCTCTCTGTCCCCCCCCCCTCAGCTAACAATCCAAAACAGTCCAGTGACACCTTTAAGGCCAAAGTTTATTCAGGTACAAGCTCTCCCTCCTCTGCTAGGACAGATCTGCGCAGTCCCCCCCCCCACAGCTAGCAATCCAAAAGAGTCCAGTGGAGCCTAAGCGGTGGGTGTTGCCTTCTGACACACTTCCGGTGATGTCAGGGGGTGTGGCATATGCAAATAAGTTATGCTAATGAGTTATGCTAATGAGCTCCTGCACCTCTTTTTCTACGAAATGACCCTGCATACACCCCAAATCTTGTTGGTCTCTAAGGCATGGCAGGACTCGAATCCGGCTCTTCTACTGCAGACCAACACAGCTACCCATCTGAAATGGTCACCTGTGTGCATGAGCAAAATCACAGGTGCATCTGTTTGTATTCTGGATTTGGTTGTTTATGGGAGTGGGTAGTCTGCAAAATCTGAGGGAAGGTGGAATGGTACAACCCAATCTCATCAGATCTCGGAAGCGAAGCAGCGTTGGCCCTGGCTCGTACTTGGATGGGGAGACCACCAAGGAAGCCCAGGGTTGCTACGCAGAGGCAGGCAATGGCAAGCCACCTCTGGACATATCTCTTGCCTGAAAAATCCCACAGGGACGCCATGAGTCAGCTGTGAATTGATGGCTCTTTTCTCCTCTTCCACCACCACCACCTCCCAAAAGCCAGCTTTACCTCTCCCTTCCTGGCAACGGGCCACAAAAAGGCAATTCTTTGTCTCCCCAGACAGGGAAGGGATTCCCCCCCCCCATATTATAGACTCAGGTGGGGTCACCGTGTTGGTCTGAAGCAGCCGAACAAAGTCTGAGTCCAGTGGCGCGTTTCAGACCCACAAAGTTTTATTCTGCATGAACATGAAAGCTTATACCCAGACTAAAACTTTGTGAATAAAACCTTGTGGAGGAGGAGGAGGAGGAGAAGAGATTGGATTTCTACCCCGCCCTTCACTCGGAGTCTCAGAGCAGCTTACAATCTCCTTTCCCTTCCTCTCCCCACAGCAGACACCCTGTGAGGTACATGGGGCTGAGGGAGTTCTGAGAGGACTGGGACTGACCCAAGGTCACCCAGCAGGCTGCCTTTGGAAGAGGAGTGGGGAATCAAACCCGGTTCTCTGGACTGGAGTCACCGCTCTTAACCACGACACCAAACTGGAGGGTGCTTGCACACGAAAGCTTGTACCCGGAATAAAACTTTGCTGGTCTTCAAGGTGCCGCTGGACCCAAACTTTGTCCTCACACACACATGCATACAGATTTTGTCGCAGCGAGGCAGCCCTCCCGTGGGACCCCCGCAGAGTTCCCCCTCCCCGGGGGGGCTGGGAGCCTCTCCTAGCTCTGCCAGGGCCTTACCTGGGTGGAGGGGGGGATGCTGCCGGGCAGCTCTTTGAGGCCCAGAGAGCCACACTCCACGGTCATGCTGTAGCAGCGGCAGGTGATGGGACACGCGTGGGCCTGGAGTGCCACGAACCCCAGCAGCCAGAGGGTGAGCAGGGAGGCCTCTGCCGGGGCCATCCTAGACCAGCTGCTGAGGAGAGAGAGAGAGAGAGAGAGAGAGAGAGAGAAGGAAAGAGAGAGTCAGAAACCAGATCCACACACAGGGTAAGTCTGGTGCCGTCCAGCCCGCAGACAAGCGGTTGTCAGCTATGCTGCCATGAGGGTTGGGGAGGTTATCCTGTGTCTTGTTAATTGCTATTGCATTCCTTTCCCTTTCGCTATCCCTTGGCTGTAACGCTTATCTCTACAGATGTGCAGGAGGACGTTGTATTGTCTAGTGGTCTCTCATCCTTCATGAGAGATTCCCGATTCCCTGCTTTCGCCACCTAACGGTTTCCTAACTCTGCCCGTGCGCGGGAGGGTGCCTTATTGGCCCATGCTATGTGGGGATGCATACGAACGCCCTATATCCTATCTGGTTCTATGGTTTGCTGCCATTCCTAACAGTGCCTATGTTACTGCACCTATAGCTTTGCAATAAAAGTATAACCGTTCCTGAATGCGTGTACTTCGTTGTGAGCTGTGGGTTCTGACAGTGGTTGGAAGAGGTGAGACACACAGTTATGCATCAGGAGAAGAGAGTGAGAGTCCAGGAGCACCTTCAAGGCTAGCAAAATGTGTGGCAGGGGAGGAGTTGTTCGTGCGCACTTCTCCAGTTTTGAACCGGTCACCTTCAGAGCCAGTAGTGGTGAAGTGTGCGGACTCTAATCTGGGAGAACCGAAAATGGTTTAAGATGTGGTCCAGAAATAGAAAACATATTAAGACGGCTAACTTTAAAGAAAATCTACTTAAGATGTTCTATATGTGGCCTATATCACTGGAAAGATTAAATAAATATAATAAGACCATATCTAGAAATTGCTGGAAGTGCAAATTTAATATCGGTACATTTTATCATATTTGGTGGGTCTGTAAGAAGGCTGAAAAATACTGGAAGATAATAAAATGGGTTATAGAAGGAATTTTAAAAGTGGAAATACAGTTAACGCCAGAATTTTTTTTGCCAAGTATATTACCTGAAGAACTTAAAGAAACAAAAGTTTATTTAATTATGCATATTTTGGTGGCGGCAAGGGTTCTATTTGCGAGATATTGGAAAAATGAAAGCATTCCAACAAAAGATGAATTTATAAGTAAAATATTTGAAGTTGCTGAATTAAAGAAATTAACATTTACTATTCAGGGTAAAAGTGAAAAGGCGTTTGATAAAAAAGTGGGTTACAAAAGATGGAAGAGAGTAAATAACAAAGTAATTATTGAAATGATATAAATAACTGGAAGTTTTTGTTATATGAGCTGTATGCATTTATATGTTTGATTTTGTATAGTTTAAAATGATACATAAACATGGTAAAAGAAAAGAGTTTGGATGTGACCTTGGATTCCTCCTTATCAATGGAGGACCAAGTCACACATGTTACCAGGCTGGCATTTTTCCATCTTTGCCAAGCTTAGCAACTGGTTCCTTTCTTGGTGTGCCCAGACCTAGCCATGGTAATCCATGCAATGGTCACCTCTGGTATTCCATGCAATGGTCACCTTTGGTATTCCATGCAATGGTCACCTCCAGACTAGACTATTGTAACTCACTCTATGCTGGCCTACCCCTGAGACTGACCTGGAAACTCCAGCTCATCCCAAATGTGGCAGCATGAGTCCTGACAGGAACGTTATGGATGACATTCAACCAGTGCTGCGCCAGCTACACTGGCTTCCAGTGGAGTACCGAGTCAGGTTCAAGGTTCTGGTACTGACCTTTAAAGCTTTGAGCAGTCTGGGACCAATGTATCTATGGGATCTTCCTCTCCAGTATTTCCCCAAGAGAACTTTGCCCTCTACTGATAACAACCTGCTGGTAATCCCTGCTGGTAACCCCTAGCCCTAGGCTGTCCTCGACCAGGGCCAGGGCCTTTTTAGTCCTCGGTCCTGGACCCAACCTGGTGGAACTCTCTGCCAAATGACACAAGGGCCTGCAGGATCTTATGCAATTCCACAGGGCCTGTAAGGCAGAAATGTTCCACCAGGCTTTTGGTTGAGGGCAGCAATGGTTTGCTTCATTAGCTGGCACCCTTCTTTTCCTCCCCCTTCTCCTTTTTTTGCTTTGAGTTCCCTCTCCCCCTGCCCCCAAAATGGCCAGGTAGTCCAGAATTGGGATAGAAAATTTACAGGACACCATATTGTATCTTTTTATTCTGGTTCTCTTAGCTTTTATCAACTTGTATATTGAATTTTACTGTTTTGTATAGCTTTATGGCATTATGCCCTCTTATGCCCAGAGCCCAGGGTAACTTGGGATAGGGCAATTAACAAATTAAATTAATAATACTGATAATGATGATGACGACGACGATATAGCATGACAGATCTCTTTTCCACTAGCCTTAGAATAAGGACCAGCAGGTAGGAGTCCTCAAGCCAAGCCAGACAAATGAGAGAAGTACAGGGGAAGAGCTGGCTGTGGTAATGGGACTTCCTGGAAGTCCAAGGTAAGAAGAAATCCCCCTCCTTCCTCCTATAGCATTTTTGGTGTCTAGGGCCTTGACTCAACTAGTATCCTGGGTAGGTCTAGGGTTCTAGATCACCACAACTCCAAAATAAGGTTTCAATGGAATAATGTACAATGAAATGAGGTACTCAGTGAAATCACTATCCCCTATGTCCATGATGCAATAGCTGTGTCTTTCTGATTGAAGATTTCGCAGTATAGTAAGGTCATTTTTCCCCTCAGAATCTGTACCTCTTTGTGCTGCTAATGGTCCTCACTGCTGTCTTTCAACTCCTTACTGCTTGGTACCTGACCTTTAATCTCTCTTTTTATCTTCCAGGTGTAGACTCAAAGGTCACAGCAGCTAACCTGCTACATGACATCTTGGGGAAATTACTGAAACCTTTAATAAACTGGAAAGCATTTAAGTTAGTGCACAGGAAATTTCCTTCATTAAAATGTGACTCATTTTATTGGTACATGGAGGGCATTTCAGATGAGAAATGGAGGGTTGTTTGGAACTTTTAAAAAAAGGATTATATCAGTTCATGGAGGACTGCTGTTTGCTATGATATAGCTTCCATATTCCAAAGAGCTTGAGTTACATAAGGTTTGGGTAAGCCACAGGGAGTATCTATCCTGTGTTTGTGAACTCCTCAGGAGGAATGGGCTGGGCCAGACACTACTAGAGACAGAAGGCTGGATTGGGTAGGCCCTTGGTCTGATAAAGCATTTTGAGTTAGGCTCGGATCACAGATGCTGAAGAATGAGGTGATAGAATGGCAAGGGGGGTAGAGTGGAAGGTACCACTTTGGACTGCAGGTGATGGATTCCAGTTTTGAGTAGTCCTTTGCACTAAAACTCCACACCAACAGCAGGGAGGAAGCTTCATGGTTTGCTGTGCTGGTTTTCTATCTGCAGGGATTTTTTTTTCAAAAAAACATGATCCTCCACCTATACAATCCATTCTGCCACTTCAGTATTCTCCTACCTTATTTATCACCTCATTCTCCTTCAAGTGTAAATCAGGCCTAAATTCATATGTTATTCCAGAAAGAATGTTAAGCCCAAACTATCTGGGTATTTAAACAAGCAAGCTTGTGGCAGAATTCTGTAATGTCTCTCTATTTTTTCTTTCTTGTAAACTCAGGGGAATACCCAATGAAGCAAGGGTGCCAAACTCATTTGTTATGAGGGCCGGATCTGACATAAATGAGACCTTGTTGGGCTGGGCCATGTGTGTCATAAAATGTAATGCCAGGTAGCAGAGATATAAACTTTATAAAGGACACAAACTCATTTTTTAACTTAAAAACATGTTTAAAATATTAGTACTCTTGCAATATTTTGTTTATTTAACAATGTCTGATAACTGACACATATTGCTCTGAATTATTGCATCAAAATATCTGTGCTGTTGCAATCTTGACATAACGAGCCCAACAAAACACACACACTGTAGCAAGACACACACAAGCTCATACCTTAGATATCACTTTATTGGACTTAGAGGTGCTTTGTATTTCTCCTGTGCAATTGAGGCAGACAAGCAAAGCAAGCTCTCTCTTCAGGGAGGAGTCTCAGCCAATGGAAGGGAAGAAAGGCTTGCCTTTCTGTCCTGTGCGATTGAGGCAGCCTGGCCAGGAAGCAAGTTTTGGCTCATCCCCTCCCCCCAGGAGGGGGAGGAGCCTCAGCCAGTGCAGGGAACAGACGTTTGCCAATCTATCTCTCCTGAGTGATTGAGAGAGTCTAGCAAAGCAAGCTATGATGATGCAGCAGCAGCAGAACTGGAAGAAGAAGCAGGAGACAGCCAGTTCCACTGCGGGCCTGATGGAAACCTTCTGGGGGCCTGTTCTGGCCCCTGGGCCACATGTTTGACACTCCTGCAATAAAGTGTTATGTGAAAGGCTGGTCAAAGACAAGGTGTCCCCTGTTGAGTGACAGTTACAGCAAAATGACTCTAGTTAGGACAGAAGGCAAGAGAGAGAACATTTCTTTAAAAGGTGTCAAGGATTGTCCCTGTATCACAACTGTAATTTTTCCAATCAGGGCAAATAGCAAATGTAGGATAAGTGAAAGGGAGATTCTGCATTGGCTTTTCCCTCTGTTGTTTTACCAAAGGTGCAGCTCAAAACCACATTAAATACCCTGGGGCAACACCATACTGACTGCGGTCACCCCAAATGGTCATAAATCTATGCAGAAGGTATCACAAAACCCAATGATAAAAGAAAGTGAAAGCAGCATTGTAAGGAACAGAGGTTGTTTAGGCTTATATTGTAAGGAACAGAGGTTGTTTAGGCTTATATTTTGTTGGCTTTGCTGGTGGGAAAGGGTTATAAGTTTATTAGGACCCAGCCTTGCAAGTATCTGGAAACAATCTGCTCCCAGCACAACTATATTCAGCTGAGAGACTTTGTTATTGTGGAGAAGAGAGATCAGTGAACAGAGATCAGTTCGCTTGGAGAAAACAGCCACCTTGGAAGGTGGACTGTATGCATTATATCCCACTGAAGTCTCTCTCCCCTCCAA